AAGTAGTTTGTCACTCCTTCTTCCTAGTCTGTCTTCATCTGGAAGCTCATCTGAAACCTGTCCACCATGGGTGACCCTGCTGGTATTTAAAATACCAGTGGCATAGCTTCCAGAATCACAGCAACTCTTAAGCCACAACTGGCTAGTATGACAAACTGACAGACAAGTGGTGGCTTTGAGCGGTAGTCTGGTTGAAAGCCTGTATGTGTGTCCTATCTGTGCAGAGACTGGAGGCCCCACAGAGGGCCTTGTGCAAGCTCAGACACGGTACAGTGCAGGGACACAGTGTAACTATATGGTGTTCTGATTGTGCTGGCATGGGGACAGCTCAAGTCTCACCTAAGGTAAAGTTACCTGTATTTTCTCTTAAACAACTAATGATCTAGTGGTAGAGACAGACATGTTAATAGCAACAATTTTACAAATAAATAATATGTTTTGAAAGCACTTTTTTTAGGTCCACATTTTGATTTATCTTTATAATAACAGTGTTGGGAGGCAGGCTGGCCTATTTTTTAAATGAAGAATCCAAGCCTGAGAGACCAAGTAATGTTTTCAGAATCACATAGCAAATTAAGTGACTTGAAAGTCTTCTTATTTGGGAGTCCCTGACTTTTTCCCATGAAAACACATCATCTCTAACTACACTGAAAGTCAGAAAGCACACAGGGCTCTCAACACGCCTTATGGAGGTGAAGCCAGAGTCCTAGGAAGGATCCCGGGGACCTTGACGTTGAAGAATGAAGAGAGGAACATGTCTAGATGGGGAGCAGGGTGAGCCAAGACAGAGAAGTGGTGGCCAGTTGTGGTGCCAGAGCCTGCGGAACGCTGCAAGGAGGAAGTGCCATCGAGTCGATTCCCACCCATAGCGACCCGGGAAGCAGCTAGTAAGCTTGAACTACCAACTTTGCAGTTCAAACGGCTTTGCAGTCTGGCGCATTAACCCACAGCGCCACACCAGGACTCCCTTAGGTGAGGGTATCACTCATGAATTCACTCAGCAAACATGTGGCCGTCCGCACTGAACAACAGTGGGAAGTGGTTGTGGTGAGCAGGATGGGGAGACGTGAAACTCAGAATGAACAAGTGATTACCAAGTATGAGCCCTGTGATGTCAAGGAGTGGATGCTGGTGAAGAGCAGTGTAGGACGGGAGGGTAATGTGGGAACAGCTGCCAGCCGTAGGTTGCCGAGAACTGATGGAGGAGAGCAGACAGTACTCCTGTGGCTGATGCTGAGGGAGGCCTCCAACAGCTAGGCTCACTCAGAGGGAAGTTCGGGCCAGGTGGGGAGGGCAATGGACATGCATACTGCAGGGACAGTCTGGAAGCTGTACCATCCTCAGCGGCCACAGTCTAAGCCCCTTTTCTCCAGTATTCTCCCAAGGCTTTCCCAGACTTAGGTGATCTGTGTTTTGAAATGAACGCTGCCTACTCTGTGGAGAGCACATTGAAGAAGGCTCAGTTGCCTCCAACGTGGCCTAGTCCTAGTGAAAGGAGAAGACAAGGTGTGTGAGTGAGTTCAGGGTGGTGCTGCTAGAAGGCTTCACAATAGTGGGCAAGTGTGAGCTCCCCTATTTTCTGGGAAAGATGGTGATGGGGTGCCGTGGAGGCGGTTCCAACTCGTAGCGACACTGTGTAGGGTTTTTTCCCGAAAACCACATCTTTCTCCCCTGGAACAGCTGGTAGTTTCAAACTGCTGGCCTTGAGGTTAGCAGCCCGGTTCGTAATCACTTCGCTACCAGAGTGTGGGAAAGATAGAAGGATCTAATGGGGGTAACTGAGTGGGTGACAGCAGACTGACAGGAAAGGTGAAAGAACCGCTATTGGAGGTGATACCGTACAGTCAGGTCAGTTTCATGACTCAGGACCTAAGGAGAACGCATGGGTGAACCTGCTAGTCTTTATGTTCACATAAATGGTAATTTAGGGCATGCAATTACTGTGGTGGTGTAGGATAAGCACTGGACTGCAAACTGCAAGGTGGTGGTTCAAACCCACCAGCTATTCCTGTACAGAGTCGCTGTGAGTAGAAACCAACTTGACAGTACTTAACCAACATCACTACCTTGTTTTTTCATCTTTTCTCCAATCTGAGTGGTGGTGGTTATGTGCTGTGGAGTCGCTTCCGACTCATAGTTCTATTTCCTTACTTTAGCGATATTAGGGATAATAATGTATGCTGAGTCAATTTTGACTCATAACGACCCTTTATAGGGTTTCCAAGGAGGGGCGGGTGGATTTGAACCTCCAACCTTGTGGTTAGCAGTCCATTGCTTATTGTACAGCACCACACCAGGACTTTATAACACTTTATATAAACTTAAAAGTAAAGTGTTCATGTTATTTACATTATGATGAAAAATACTAAGATGAGCTTGATTTGATTTTATTTTTAATAATAACTTTTCAATAAAATATTCTAATTTAATTTTAGTTCTCATTATGATTTTCTAATACTTTTAGAACTTTGGGGTGTCTATTGAAAATGTTGAATTATTATATAAAGCTGATTTGTCCTGTAGAATTAGAATTCTGTCACTTTTGTCAGCAAATCATAGAGAATAGTAGTTCAGAACCACAGCTTTGGACAGCCTCCTATCCACATTATAACGTAGTCTGTCGGTATACTTTCTGTGGCAGGTTTTAGAATTTCCGGATCCCATGTGGGGCTCAGACTATATCCAGTTGCCCAGCGCACCCTCTTCCTGTGAGCAGAAGGGCAGTGCTGTCTCGTGGGAGGAACTGAACTCCATGGACCTGCCGTCATTCGAACCCGCCTTCCTAGTTCTCTGCCGGGTCCTACTCAATGTGATCCATGAGTGTCTGAAGTTACGACTGGAGCAGAGGCCTGCTGGGGAGCCTTCCCTCTTGAGTATTAAGCAGGTTTGTTTCAAACGCTGTTTAGAAATTTTCACAATTATTATACTATCTCAAAATCTACTAAACTATGTTGTGAGGATTTGTTTTCTAGTTTTTGCAAATCATGAAAAATGAGTATATGTTAGTATTTTCAAGCTGTTCTTTTTAAGGTAATTTGACATGTTCTTTACATGTAGTCCTCAAACCAGATTGCAATCCTGCCTTCCTGTCATCTGCTTCCTTGGTCTGCAAATATAGAGAGATCCGCCCCTTCTGTGTAATTTCTGGATACTGAAAGCTTAAATTTCATTCATAAGAGATGCAGTTTAAGTTCCCCATTTTTTGTCCTCTTTGGGTTATGCAAAAGCAAATATACAAGGAAGGGTACGGCGAACAGTATTGCTGCAAACTCACAGAAAGGTCTGTGAAAACTAAAGTATCAAAATGTGAAGCCACTCTTCCTCAGCATGTCTGCCATCAAGGTGTATACACATGTGAAGGTGGTGGTGCCTTCTCTCCAGCCCTTTCCTCATCACACACTGTCACTGTGTCACTCTGTCACTCTGTCACTCTGTCACTCTGTGCTGGCTTGCATGTCGCTGTGATGCTGGTAGCTTTGCCGCTGATACTTTAAACAGAACACCTATGGTGGGCAAGCTGTCAGCAGAGCGCCCAGACTGAGACTACTTGTGATGGTGTCACCACTGAAAAACCCTAATGAATAACAGTGGAGCCCTGTCGGATACAGGGCCAGAAGGTGAGCCCCTCAGGCTGCAAAGCCTTCAAAGTGGGGCTGGGAAAGAACTGCACCCCCCCCCCCCAAAGTAAGATGATGTGGATAGAGCAAAGCTCTTAGACCTTCATTTGCTGATGGGGCACAACTGAAAATGAGGAGAAACAGCTTCAGACATCCATTAATAGTTGGGATGTGGAATGTACGAAGAATGAATCTAGGAAATTGGGAGTATAAAGATTTATATGGTAGGCATGAGGGAGCTGAAATGGACTGGTATTGGCCATTTGAATCAGACAATCATAGGGTTCACTACGCCAGGAATGACAAATTAAGGAAGAATGGCATAGTCTTCATCATCAAAAAGAATATTTCAAGATTAAGTACAGTGCTATCTGTGATAGGATAAACTTCATACACCTATAAGGAGGACTAATAAATATCATTGTCATTTAAATCTGTGCACCAACCACGAAATCCAGTGACGACAACAATTGAGAACTTCTACCAGCTTCTTCAGTCTGAAATTGGATCAACAAACATGCAGTCAAGATGCATTGATAATTACTGATGACGGGAATGGAAAAGGTGGTGATGGAAACTATGCCGGAGATCACATGATAAAAATTTGCAAGACCAATGTGGCTCTGTAGGATAAGCACTGAACTGCTTAACCACAAGTCTGAGGTTCAAGCCCACCAGCTGCTCTGCAGAAGAAAACTGAGGTCTTCTGCTTCCATTTAGATTTACAGCCTTGGAAACCTTATACAGAGGTTGCTTTGAATCAGAACTGATTTGATGACACCTAACAACAACAACAACAACAACAGAGTCCTGGTGTGGTGCTGTGGCCTAATGTCACACTGCAAAGTCGCTTGAACTGCAAGATTGGCGGTTCAAGCACACCAGCTGCTCCTTGGAAACCCTATACAGGGTCACTATGGGTTGGAATCGACTGGACGGCACTTAAGAATAACAACAACAAAGAACATGAATAAATGACTTATTCATGCCAATTCCTTTTTAAAACAACATAAATGGCAACTATCCTCCTGGACCTGACTAGATGGAACACACAGGATTCAAATTGACTACAACTGTGAGAAGAGATGGTGGAGAAGCTCAGACCATCAGCAAAACAAGGCCAGGGCCATCAGATGCTCATATGCAAATTCCGGCTGATGCTGGAGAAAATGAAAACAAGGCCACAAGAGCCAAAATAGGACCTGGAGTCTGTCTTACCCCTGAAAACAGATTGAATACGTTAGGCACTAATGATTAATGACCAGATGACTTATAGGATGACTTCAAAAATGTCACCCATGAAAAAAAACAAAAGAACATTAAAAAGATAGGAAAGTAAGACCAAAGAGAATGTCAGAAGAGACTCTGAGAAACTTGCTCTTGAACGTTGAGAGGCTAAAGCCACTGGAAGAAATGATGAAGGAGAAGAGCTGAAAGAACATTTGAAGGAGCATCTTCAGAAGGTACAGTCAAGTATTTTAATAAAATGTGCAAAGACCTGGAGGTTGGAAACCAAGGGGGAAGAGCTTACTCAGCATTTCTCAAGAAGAAAGGGCTGAAGAGAAAATTGAGGGACTCTGTGGACGAAATAGAAGGCAAAAGTCAAGGCTCCAGGAATTGACAGAGTACAAATTGAAATCTTTCAACAAACAGCACTGGAGGTGCTTGCTCATCCTTGTCAAGAAATTTGGAAGATGGCTGCGTGGCCAGCTGACCCAAGAAAATGTGGAAATCATCTCACAGTATCATTGACATCACATGCAATTAAAATTTTGCTGAAGATAATTCTAAAACAGTTGCAGGAGTACATCAACACAGCTAGCTGCAAGAGATGCAAGCCAGGTTCAGAAGACGATGCAGAACTAGGGATATTATTGCAGATGCCAGATGAATCTTGGTTGAAAGCAGAGAAAACCAGAAAGATGTTGATGCACTTTATTGACTGAGCAAAGGTATGTTCAACTGCCTGGATCATAACAAATTTTGTATAATGCGAAGAACGGGTATTCCAGAATGCTTCATTGTGCTCATTAGAAACCTGCACATAGACCAAGAGGCAGTGAAGAGCAAGGACATACGTCATGGTTTAAATTCGGGAAAGGTGTGCACCAGGATTGTGTTCTTCCACCATACTTAATCAATCTGTGTGCTGAACAGCTAATTCGAGGAGCTGGATTGTATGAAGAAGAATGTGGCATCAGGATTGGAGGAAGGCTCATTAACAAGTTGTGTTCTGCTTTCTGAATGTGAAAGGAACTTAAATTACTTATTGATGAAGCTCAAAGACCACAGCCTTCAGTATGGGTTGGTTGTACCTTGACATAAAAACAAACATCCTTACCACTAGAACAATAAATACCATCATGATAAATGGAGACAAATTGAAGTTGTCAAAGACTTCACTTTGCTTGGATCCACAATCAGTGCTCATTGAAACAGCAGTCAAGAAATCAAGCAAAGTATTCCATTAGGCAAAGACCTTTTTAAAGGGTTCAAGAGCATAGGTGTCAGCTTGAGGACTAAGGTATTTTCAGTTGGTTCAAACTCACCAGCTGCTTGCTCCTTGGAAACCCTATACAGAGTCACTGTGAGTCAGACTTGACTTGATAACACTTACCAACAGCAACAACATATGTGTGTGAAAGTTGGGCAGATAGTAAGGAAGACTAGAAAAATTGATGCATTTGAATTATTGTGTAAGTGAAGAATATTGAAGAGTTATAGATTGCCAAAAAAACAAACATCTGCTTTGGAAGAAGCACATCCAGAATTCTCCTTAGCAGGGAGGATGGTGAGACTTTGTCTCTTGTACTTTGGGCATGTTGTCAGGAGGGACTAGCTCCTAGAAGACATTGTGTTTGGAAAAGTGGAGAGTCAGTGACAATGAGGAGAGCACGAAATGGCATGGTCACAGTTGTGGAGATGGTGTCAGACCAGGCAGTGTTTGGTTCTACTGTACATAGGCTCGCTACGTACCTGAACAAGAACAGCTACCCTTCCCCAAAGAATTAGCTGCTTTTTGATTTACATCACAGCCAAAAGGCATTTTACGCAACTTTGAGGAATTCAAATCATGTTCCTTTTCAATGTTCTTTGGATTTGGGTAACAAAAAGAAGTCCCAAGACAGCAAGGTCAGGACTGTAGGGTGCATGGGGTAAAGTTCCCAGTCAAAGTCTCATAGAGCAGCCCTTGCTCCCCTCAGAGAACTAGCAGGCTCATTGTCACGATGGGAAAAGCTCCACGACAACTTCCCTGACCTTTTTCTCAGCAGTGCAGCTGTCAGTTTTCTACAGCGTCTTCATACTAAGTCCCTGTGGTCATCCATGCTCTGTGGAGCCTGTGTATAGTGGAGTGCTTGTTTCATGATACTTTTAGTTTAAAAAAAAAAAAAAACACCTCTTTTTCTGTAGTAGCTCTTGTCTTATAATATAAATTAGTAGAAAATTAGATTTTCTTCTGTGGAATTGGCTTTGTGTTTAAATATGTGTCTAAGAGTATATTTAACAGATCATCATTAGCCTATGTGGTATTCTCTCTTTGTATTCATTTTTTTCTTTTCACTGTGTGCTCTTGCTCTGTTGAACCTACGGAGATATTTGTCTGAAATGAACTGATGAAGGATCTGGAATAGTTTGGGCTTTCAGAGGCCAGGTTCCCTGTTACTGAGTGGTCAGTGGGGATGCGTCCTGTTTGGTTACGCTTGTATGGTCACAGAACTCACGGCTGTTGTCCTGTAGCTGGTGCGAGAGTGTAAGGAGGTACTGAAGGGCGGCCTTCTGATGAAGCAGTACTACCAGTTCATGCTACATCAGCTGCTCGACGGCCTGGAGCAGACGGACTGCAACATGGATGCCTTCGAGGAGGACCTGCACAAGATGCTGATGGTGAGCTGGCAGAGGGGGGCAGGGTCTCTCACCCGATTCGTCTCCTCTCAGATCAGGTGACACGGATTCTCTGAAAGCCCCCTGATGTTTCAACCCATTGTGTTTAGATTAGAAATGTTGGAACCCCTTGTTGGGGTTCATTGTTCACTTGTGGGGTAGTGCATCCTAGAGCCGAGCAACTCAGCCTCGACCCATAGCCCGGCCATGGATCTACAAGGGTTTCAGTTGAAGATATCGAGACCAGAAATGTGGTCAGCCCTGTGATTTATGGTGAGAACTCTAGAACAACCATTGCTCCCGGCCACGTGACTGTCTAGTGGCCCTTGTTTCATGAATATGGGTGTGGGGAATGCACTTTGGGGTTGCCTGGTAGGTGAGGTGCCTTGGGGGATGGTGATGGGGAGTTAGCATCCTCACAGGAGTACTGCTGATGGGAGACAACTGAAAAGTGAGGCAGTAGGAGGCCTGGGAAAGAAATCGGAGGACTGGAACTCCAGGTGAGGCGGAGAGAACAGTGGTGTTAGCACCTCCGGGACTGCAGTCGCTTTCCCACTAACGTAAGGGAAAGTTTGAGTTGATGAATTCTCATTTCCAATGTCTCCTTTTATGTTTTTGTATTTAAGGTGTATTTTGATTACATGAGAAGCTGGATCCAAATGCTGCAGCAATTACCTCAAGCATCCCATAGTTTAAAAAACCTGTTGGAGGAAGAATGGAATTTCACCAAAGAAATAACTCATTACATACGGGGAGGCGAAGCTCAGGCTGGGAAGCTTTTCTGGTAGGAGTCCCTGAGCTTCTGAATATGACATGGTCTTGCTCCGATTGCTCCCACTCACCTGTTGCTCACAGTTGTCGTCTGTGTACTTAAGTGCGTGGAAATTGCAGTCCGTCAGTTCTGGTGTGTGCCTCTTACCCAGCTGTTACCCTTAAGAGAAGTCGTTCTCAACCAGTGGGGGTTTCTCTTGGGGGACATGGGCAGTTTCAGGAGACGTGTCGGGAGGGTGTTATTGGCACCTAGCGGGTCCAGGTCAGGTGTGCTGCTAGGATAGAGTGCTGCGGACTGTTCCCCAAACACACACACACACAGTCCACCTGAGTCTCACTAGTGTGAGGTGAAAAGCCCAGACGCAGAGTCACCCTGTTTCATGGGGATCGCTAGGACTCACTGAGAGTCAGTGTTGGTTTAATCACCCTGGGTTGGGTTAGAATCACTCTGTTGGGCAGATTTCCAGTGGGGGAGAACCCACATCCTCTGAAGGAAAGACGAGAGCTGCATGGGGACTCGTCATGGGCTCTGTGAGGTGATGTTTTAGAAATGTTAGCCTGGGAAGGGAGAGGTCTTGGCCTGAGCTGCTAGAAAAGTCGATGTTAAGCTCCCAGGACGGCCCCAGGTCCTTGGTGGTTCCCTTCCCCTCCCTCTGATAGACTGGCTCTGAGTGAGGGTCAGACGTCTCCTGGGCTGTGGATGCTCAGCTCTGCTGGTTCTGCCTTCCCTCACTCTCACTCTCCTCCGGAGTCATTTTCTTGCTTTTCTCCTCTGATGAGGTCTCTAATGGCCCGCTCACATTGTCTCCGTCCGCTCTTCACATGCGTTAGTAGGGCTCAGCGTGCACGTGGAGCACTCTTCTGCCTTCAGAGCCTCGTGGTCCTCAGCTCCAGCTCTCTCTGCCCTATCCGTAGTCACTAGCTCAGCAGTTCACATGCACTTTTCTGGCCCTAACCGGTTGCCTGTTCTGTCTTATGTCTCGTGCATCCTTGTGTGGAGCAGTATCAGTACACTTGCTCTCCTCTGAGAACTGTCCCTGTCCTGACCACGACCCCCAGTCTCCTTGGCCGGATTACTGTAAGCAGCCTTTTAAAATGATGCACTTCTCCACCCTCAAAATCCTTCCCCACCTGCATCATCCCAAGTTTCTCTTTTCTGACACTTCTTTCTGTTTGTGTTTTCTGTTCCCAGCCTGTGAAGCTTTATTGAAGAGATCAAATAACAACAACAGAAACAAGAGGACATTGTTTACTGTTACACACAAGTGCATGCTGTGAAATTTCACTCCAGCCTTTTTCCCGTCCATCTCTCTCTCTCTCTAGCTTTGGCTTGTCTTTAGTGCAGACCCTCACTTCCTGCAGTTTCCTTGGACCCATGGCCTTGGCCTTTGTGCTCCTCCTTCCGAAAAGTCCTCTGATCTGTCTCACTGCCCCTTAGTGGGTCTTTACTTCTGCTCTTCTTCACCACTCCGAGACGGCTGCCCTTCCTCCACTGCTCCCCTGCTTAAATCAGTGTTGCATCTTTCTCTTACACACTTCGGGTTCCTCAGGAAGCATCATCCCAAGTCTGGCCTCTCATGCCACCTCATGTCACCACTGTTCCTTGCTTGTCCTTTGTCACCCTCAGTGCTGCAGCATTCCTCACCCCCGCTCTGCTAAGATGCTCCTCACACTCAGTGTGCTCCAAACCTTCCTTCTCACTCAACAGATGCAGGCGTGCCTGAACATACACGGCCGCCTCGGTTTATCTTCATCCCATCTCTGCCACCACCCGCATCCTCCGCTACTGTCCCTGTGGCTTCCTGCTGCAGGCTGTTGGCCTCTACCTGAACCACTCTCCTCCTAGCTATTGTCACAGTGTGTTTCCTGACCTCCCTCAGGTCTTTGTCCAGATCGCACCTCTCAGAATACCTGAAACAGAGGTCCTTACGTGCAGATGCTGCCTCCCTGACTCAGTCCCCTGCTTTATTCTTCCCTTGAGCACTCAGGATGTGAAATATGAGCTGATCTTTCATTTTACTGACTGACTTTCTCCACTCACCGGAGGGATTTTTATTTCTGTTGTTCGCTGCTACTTAGTGGATAATAGGTAGACGATAACTTAAGTAGATAATAACCCAAATATTTGTTGATTAAGTTCAACCTGTATCTTCTTGTATTCTGCTCTTCTTAAAACATGTTTCTAAACTGATCACTCTTCACTCTGAAATTTTCAAGCCCACTTTGTATACCAAATTAAGATCAAACAAATAAAAACAACATTCAAGACCATCCAAAAGTGGCTCCAACTGACTTCCCAGTCTTTGTCCAGCACTTCGGGAGCTACGTGGTAGCTGGAGTGTTTCATGCCTTCCATTCCTTCCTGTTTAGTCATCTTGGACTGTCCTGGACCCCATCCTTCTTCTGTCACCTCCCCTCCACCCACCACTGCCCCATCCTCCTCTTGACACCTCCCTGTGCATATTACTACTTTGCCTGGTACAGTGCTTCCTGTCCGTGGGACCAGGCTGGGACTAACCCCACTCGGGCCCTTCTCCTTGGACAAGGCGCCTAGCACTTCCTTTCTTCAGAGCTGGCCTTGCTTGTCATTTGTCTGTTCTTTTAGACTAAAGTACAGTCCTGACCTTGAACATCCTATGGCTCCCTAAGCATCTGAGGAGGCTTCTCTCATTTTGATTTGGGAGCGTGGTGGCTTGTAGAACAAGCACTGGGCATGTTCGGCAGTTCAAATCCACTAGTCACTCCAGGGAAGGAAGATGAGGCTTTCTGCTCCCACAAAGATACGCAGCCTCAGAAACCCTATACAGGGTTGCTATGGGTCAGAGGTGACTGACCAGCACAGAATCAAGAACATTTGGGTTTATTTGGTCCACTTGGATGTACATTTTTACATTGGTGCTTAGATTATGTATGTAACAGGAAATGTCAGCCATGTCGACTATTTCCTGTCAGTTAGCTATGATCATTGATTACTTGGGGAATTTTTAAAAGCATTGCATTTAAGGACTTCACTGCGTTTTCCTATGTTACAGTTTGGTTTAGTGAGGTTCTAAAAAGCTTATTGTTGTATTTACATTTGAGGTCATTTAATGACATTTTGGTCTTTTAGTTGGAGGTAATATTTGTGCAACAACTACATCATTACTATGAATTTAAGAGTTTTGAGGATTGTAGTGAAAAGCTGAAACTTGAACAATGGGAGATAGATAACGGAGCTTTCTCCTTCACACTCATTACAATTTTCAACTAGAAGGGAATCGGGGCGCAAAGCTGAGCCTATCCATGTCGCATTCCGAGATCAGCAGAGGCGGGAACAGTCTGTTTCCTGTGTTTGATCCTCCTTGTTTTTGTCTCCGTAGTGACATTGCAGGGATGCTGCTGAAGTCTACAGGCAGTTTCCTGGAATTTGGCTTACAGGAGAGCTGTGCTGAGTTCTGGACCAGCGCTGATGACAGCAGTGCTTCCGACGAGATAAGGTGGGGAAGGAAGCTGCCCTTTCTTTCCCTCCATTCTGACTGTTCTGACGGGTCCATGCCTGGGAAGGGGTCCTTTAGACGTGAGCCCTGTCCAGGCCCAGCTGTGTTCTATTCCTAAAGGACCTTCCTTACTCTATCTTGTCGGCCCATGAGTTGCCCTAGTGGTGCAGTGGGGGGACTGCGAACCAAAAGGCGGGTGAGCAGACCTAGAGCTGCAGCACAGAGGAAGCTGAGGCAATCCGCCTCAGAAGCCCAGCTGGGGAGCTCTGTGACCCTAGGGCCATTGTGAGCCACAGTCAACTCCATGGCAGCAGACTTGGGGTTGGTCTTTATAAACATTTTCTGTCCATTAACAACCCCCTTACCAGCCCTCACAAGTCCTGGTGTGGCACTGTGGGTTAATGCGCTGGACTGCAAAGTCGGTTTGAACCACAAGGTCGACTATTCAAGCTCACCGGAAACTCTATACAGGGTTGCTATGGGTCGGAACCGACTCGATCGCACTTAACAACAATAACAGTAACCAGTCCAATGGGAGCACAGTGGCTCTGTAGGATAAGTACTGAACTGTGAACCATCAGGTCGGAAGTTCAAGCCCCCCAAATACTCAGGGAGAAAAGATGAGGCTTTCTGCTCCCGCAGAGATTTATAGTCTCGGAAACCCTATACAGGGCTGCAGTTGGAACCGACTCAGCGGCACTTAATAACCACCACCACCAGCCCACTAACATGTTTAATGATGTTTAGTCGTATCATTAAGCTAAGGCTTCTCCCTCCTGCTAGATTCAGGCATGAGTACCTGAAGCCACGGCTCATTCAGTTGTTGTGTTTCCTCCAGCTCGAAGCAGACAGCACTGAGGGCGAGCCATGTGCAGCTGCTGGTTTTGTGGCAAACGTCTCAGCCATGGCACCTTTGTATCGCCATTTATCAGCAATGCCATGTCATTTACTTTTGGCCGAGGCTCAGGTGGGCCTGACTGCTCCAGAGCCGAAATGCGTTCTTTCCTGAAAAGCCTTTGTCTCTGAGGACAGCTGGAGTCTAGATAGCCAGGGCTCTCTTATGGTGCCTCACCTGGGAGCTTGTTTTCGAGAACTCACGTGGCAAATTCAATATTCAAATTGGAATTTCAGTACTAAGATGACAAACTAGAGGTTGGCTCTCGCGATGCTCTGATTGGCTGTTTACCAGGAGTGGGTCTGAAGCGTGGATGCGTATCACAGGCATGTGCTGGCACTGGGAGGTGCTCAGTGATGATGTCATCCTGGTGCCATGCAGTCAGCTACGGTGGGAACGCTTATACCACAAGAATTGGCAAGCCCCACACAAGACAATAGTTTTGGAGAGCCAGCTACTAAAGATTTACGCACACACACTGTATCTGATGGGTCTTCAGAAAGTTCTGTTTTTCCATGAAGTTTTTGATGCTCCATTGTATATGCTTTTGTAATTGGATTATGAGATGGGAGTCAGGAGTTACCTCATATGACAAAAATTTGGAATAAGATCTTTAGAAAATTGGATTTACTGTTATATGAAGGTTATTGAACGCGCCCCACTTATGCGTAAAGAACACAGTGTTTTCTAGAAGACTGTGAGGTGCAAGCGTCTGAATGTTCCGGCCTTCACTTTCTCAGTTAGGGATGGGGAGTTTGCTTCCTCTTGATGGTGAACTCTGGTGATCTGGGCTATGCTGTGCTGGATCCTAACTAGCTTCCCCTCTGCTTCCCAGGCGCTCTGTTATAGAGATCAGCCGGGCACTGAAGGAGCTCTTCCATGAAGCCAGAGAGAGGGCCTCGAAGGCACTGGGGTTTGCTAAGATGCTACGGAAGGTAAGCTCGTAGTCCTGGTGATGCTGATTGACCTTCATCTCTGTTTCTCACTTTACGTTTTAAAAGCTAACCCTTACTGTGGCCCTAGGACTTGGAGATAGCCGCCGAGTTCACGCTGTCGGCCCCTGCGAGTGACCTGCTGGGTGTGCTGAGGTCCAAGCAGTATGTGAAGGTAACTGTGTCAGGTGCTGTGGTTTGCTTACTTACTTTACGTCCTTACAGCTCCAGATGCTAAATGTGTTATCTTTGCAGACCATGCACTGATCCATCGATAAGCCTCTCTCTCAGATCCACAGTGAGACAATGAGACTTTCTCTGTCTTGACTGTACCCACGTGTTTGAAGAATGCAGAAAAATCATCAGAAGTTGACTTTTACTTACTTATTTTATTAAGTTAGTTACGCATATTGTTGTTACACGCCATCAAGGTGGCTTCAGACTCATGACGAGATCCTATATAGGCTTTCTGAAGAGCAGTTAGTTTAAACTGCCAACGTGGTTCAAAGTGACTTTGCAGTCCAGCGCATTAACCCCCAGTGCCACACCAGGAGTCTACCCTGAACCTATCTGTACATTGGACATATCCACTTGAATTTTGAGACTGTCTCAAGAACATGATTGATGCATTAGACACTACTCACCTTACGAAAAAGTAAATATTACATGGATAAAAAAGATCTTTCATGTCAAATTTTAACACAAAAATAAAGTCAAAAGACAGATGCAGGATTAGAAACCTGAGCTCATGTGATCTGTCGGATGTGAACTGTTCAGTTTTCACTCATACTGCTAGCTGTCAAGGAGATGGGCCTCGATTCGTGGGGACCCTGTATTCAGTGCAGTGACCCTGGGCCTGGGCCTGGGCCTGGGCCTGCCTGTGTCATCCCCGAGATCAGTGGAGAGTGGAACCTTTGTGATCCGTAGGAGTTTCGGTGGCTGGGTTTTGGAAACGTGCCAGCAGGCCTTTCATCCTAGTCCATCTTAGTCTAGAAGTTCTGCTGAAACCTACTGCCACTGGCCAATGTTGGGTGGCTGGTGGCTTTGTATGAGGTATGTTGGCTGGACAATACACTAGAAATCCCTACAAGGAAGACGAGAATTCTACCAGCAAGCCTCCACTGCTGCTTATAGGTGGTGTTGGTAGGGGTAAGTGCTGTCAAGTTGATTGCAAATCAAAGCGACCTTGTTTGTGTAGGGTTTCCGAGGAGCAGCTGGTGGGTTTGACTTGCCAGCATTGTGACTAGCAGTCCAGTGCTTAGCCTACAGCATGAGTAGTTATATATAAATCCCATACGCTTCCTTTAGTCTTGGTTCCCTCTGCGTGATACCACTTTTCCTCCCTGTTGGAAACAAACATATATTTATATAATTTTGGAAGTGTATGCTAAGTGGACTGAAGTGATTTGTGATTGAGTACTGTGAGAAAATTCCTTAGCATCCATTTCTTGAATAATATTTGGATTGAGTCAAGGGATCACTAACATTAGCTGCTAGTCATTAGAGATTACAGTTTTAGATGTAATGCTTTTTCAGTTGGTCACTTATCTCATCGTACTGTAGTGAAAGCATTTCAGCAGACAGACTCCTGAACTGACCCACAGTTCCTTGTCCATTCGTGGTCTTAATGCAGTTTTTCCCTCCTGTCACTCTCTGGCTCTGTAGCACTTGGTCATCATACTTGTTTACTGGCTTGGCCTCCTTTTAAGTGACATGAAAGGTTTATAAGAGAGTGATTGCCTGCTACACAAGTTTCCCGGTAGGACAGCTGTCTAGTGGGTGAGGGTTGTTGTTGTAGGCAGGTGCTGATTCTTGGTGACCCAGAATGAAGCACCGCCCAGTCCTGTGCCATCCTCACAATTGCTGCTACACTACAGCCCATTCCTGCTGCCACTGTGCCAATCCACCTCATTGGGGGTCTTCCTCTTTTTCTCAGACCCTCCACTTTATCAAATATGATATCCCTCTTCAGGGACTGGTCCCTCCTGACAGTATGCCGAAGTAAGTCTGGCCATCTTGGTTTCCAAGGAGCACTCTGGCTGCACTACTTCCAACACAGATCTGTTGGTTCTTTTGGCAGCCCGTGGTACTTTTCAATATTCTCCTCCAACACCATAACTTAAGTGAATCAGCTCTTCTATGGTCTTCCCTGTCCAACTTCTAACCAGAGAAGCAGTGATACTGGACATGGAAGCAGAGGCAATGGGATGCAGAAATAGAGCCACTGAGGACTCTAGACCCATAGAATGAGAAAGGCTGTGTGCCAGTGGGCAGGAGGCTGACTTGCAAAAAAAATACCCTTTGGTCATTTAAAGGAATATGTATTTTCTGTGTGTGTATATATATATATATATATTTTTTTTTTTTTTTAAAGAGGGAATACAGGAAAATACCGTTCATAGAAGGGATTGTAATCATTGCATTGAAACAAAATATGATTGGTTGAGTGTAAAACTGATGCTCTGCCCTGTAAACTATCACTCAATTCACAATAAAAGCATTTAAATGAAGAAACCCTTATGGAGCACAACCAAGCTGTGTCTGACTCAGGAGGGTCAGTCACTGAAGGAGGCCATCTTGTGGGGTGTAGTCAAGGCCGAGGGAGGGCCAGTGAGACGCTCAGTGAGCTGGACTGGATGCGTGGCCTCCACGCGGAACTGTGCGGATGCTGCCGGCCCGGCTGAGGTCGACTCGGTACCGGCTTGGAGTTGATTGGATGGCAGCTATTAGTCGCTTTCTCTTTCTTGCTTTAAATAGTGGTTTTGAGAGTCAGCCATTGATCTGGGTACCAGAAGCACATTCCCCCAAAACTGTTAAAGAATATCAAGCGTATAGAAAAGTTGAAGACATTTATAGTAAACATTGACCTGTCAACCATTTTATGAAGAATATTTTACTATTCTTACTTTATAAAATGCCTGTCCATGTACATTTCTGATGCACGTCAAAGGAAATTTCAATTTCACTCGGTAGCACTTAACAGCAACATCAGCTGTCAGAGGTCAGCCAATACCGCGGCCTGTGTTCAGACTTGAATTCAGGTAGTGATGATCCTCCAACTTGAATTTCCTTGTTCAAGATGTACACATACCACAGTGACTAGATATTTGTTTAAATGTCAAAGGGTACATTTTGCAAGCCAGCCTCCAGCCCAGAGGCACACTGCCTTTCTCAGTCCACAGGCTTAGAGTCCCCTGCTGCTTTGTGTCTCTCTGCCATCGCCTCTGCCACCATCTCTGTTGTTGCTACTTTTCTGGTTGGGATCTCTCACTCCTCTTGTGCTGGTCCTTCCTGATGGTCCTTGCCTCTGTTCCTGAAATGGTGGATTATCTGCTCCCCCTTTTAGGTACACCTCTTCTACATTTACATTTGTGACAGTTGCCATTAGTCCTGATAACAGTTACTCACATTTGAATCATAAAATCCTATCCCCATCACTATTCCTCTCATCACCAGACCCATCTGGACAAGAGGGAACTATTCAGTGGGGATTCTATCTTACCTCCCTCGTTCTGACACTAAACACCCTCATGCCCCCTTGTCAACCAGACACTTTGTGCCTCGATAGCCCCCCAGTTTTGATAGGTAAAGCCTAACTTGCTGAAGTCATTTTTTTAATAACTTTTAAAATGAGCAGGAAAAATACTACTGACCCATAAATGTACCACTTTGAGTGCTTTTTATTCCTTTGATCCCTTCTGTCTCAAGGATTTCCTCTCAGGTTTTGTAGTGACGAGCCCTCTCAGCTTTTTTCCCTAAGCTTCTTTCTTTTGCCTTCATAGTTGACGGGTGTTTTCACTGTATTCAATTCTAGGCTGACTCTCTTTTTCTCTCCCTGCTTTAGGGATGGTCTCCTTACCGTCTTTGAGTTTTATCTTCTTCCAACAAAAACTGTCAAGAAAGCTAGGCAGCGGCAAGAACAGATGTGAGGGAGGGCAGTGGCTCAGCTCCCAGCAGGCCCCATCTCCATCCCTCAGTCCCCCACCCCTTTCCATCGTGTCTCCACAATTACTGCTGGAGAGAGATCCAAGTCCTCCTTTGCTTTTAGTAGCGAGCTGTTACATAGGTTGTACCAAATACAGTCCGTGCTTTTCTCTTTTGGAAAGTGTTCCCTTCTCCTGGCTCCAGAAGGCATCTTCTTTGGCCACAGGTGGAGATGCAGAGAAATCATTTGTTTTTCTTTTTCTGGCTAAGTTAAAAATCCACATTTGAACAAGTTTTTACTGAGCAGAAAAATGGGACAAGAGAAACGTTTTGTAAAAAATGTAGAAGCTCTAAGTAAGTGGTTTTTGAGTAGCATTCATTACTCATATCCAGACCTAGGGAAATGGTCCTAAGACTAAGGCGTCTTGGTGTGGTGCTGTGGGTTAAGGCGCCAGACTGCAAGGTCGGCGGTTCAAGCTCACCAGCCACTCCTCGGAAACCCTATACAGGGTCGTTATGGGTCAGAACCGACTCGCTGGCACTTAACAACAACAATAAAGAGCAAAGCCCTGTGAATTAAGAAGCTATCATTGAAAACAATGGCTGAGACAGTATACTTATGAAAAAGAGAAATAAATGCTTAGTTTTCTCAAATGGACCAATTCCAGCTATCCTTAACTTACTTAACTGCTATGTGCTTTTTGTTTAAAATAACTTTTATCTGCTGAAAGATTTTGTAGACTTAGAGGTGGTACGATCACCTTGACATCACAGTGCTCCCAGTTAATAGAAATGGCCAAGCTGTTGTGCACCGTACTGTGGACTGAGACTTCTGACATGCGTTCCTTGCTTCTTGACATAACCTTGACTCTTAAAGAAAGAGTAGCTTTTTACTGCGTAAAGTCAGCCTTGAAGCGATAACAGAGCATTTATTAAAGGTTTTTTTTTTTTCTTGCAACCTTAAAAATATTGTACAGTTGTTTATTTCAGTTAAGGTAAATGTCATCTTTAATTTCCTTTTTATAAACTTAACACTTGCTCCTATAATTCAGATTATTGGTCAATACAAAGAGGCTTCAAAAAGTTTACGGAGAAATTCCACTCTGTTTTAATTCCATCTTTTCAGGAACGTTTTGAAGCTTCCATGTACTAACAGCTCTTGAGGATAATGCCCCATTTAAAACTGTCAGGCAGCCACAATGTCATGTAAATTAACCTGTGACATGACACAGCATTTCACCAAAGTCACACGACACAATTACCCTAATCACTGTCCCGGACTGAAACCAGAACCCCCCTAGTTGGTCAGCATGTTTTGAGCTTGTTTCTTTGAGCGTGCATATTTCTGTATTGTTTCATGTTTCTCAGGTTAGAATGTTGGGCTCGTTCCTTTCCAGATACAGATTCCTGGGTTAGAAAACCTGCAGCTATTTGTCCCAGATGCTCTTGCGGGGGAAAAGAGCATTATCTTACAGTTGCTCAATGCAGCTGCAGGCAAGGACTGCTCCAAAGACTCGGACGACATACTGATAGACGTCTATCTACTGCTGGCCAAACACAGTGACCGGGACCAGGACTTGGAGGACGGCTGGGGCAAGTGGGAGGAGCAGCCTGTCAAAGTCGTACCTCAAGTGGAGACTGTGGACACCCTGAGGAACATGCAGGTACAGCCGGACTCGGGCTCCCACACCTAGTCCTTCCAAGGAGTTTCAGGAAAAAAGCAGCGTTAGCATCTGAATGAGCAGTTTAATTGCATTGGAGTTTTAAGTATTTTTTTGCCAAATGTACGTCTTGGCATACTTAATTAAAAATATTCCAAAAAGTTCCCTAAGTGTGTCAAAGTATTTGGGAGTTTTTGAGACAAACCACCTATTTGATTTCTGTGTTTTCTTGGGGTTAGGTCTGTATCCCACCATCTGAAGAAATGGCCCTCCCCTACCTCCAGTTTTCATCACTAGTGAAAGCTGACTCCTACTTCCCTAACAGGACCTGCATTCAGCTGGAGGGCAGGATGGGCGTGTCTACATGCACCTCAGACCACCTACCTGCTCCTCATGTGTGTCCCTGCCTCAGTGATGGCACTCCATCCGCTCCGTTCTTTACCCACACTGTGACGTCAGTTCAATCTCTCCTCTCTTCTGGAACCATCACTTGCCTTGTCCCGCCCTAAGTGTTCCATGTCAGAGGCCCTTTCTTGCATCCCCACGGCCACTGCGAGGTCAGAGCGTCCTGCTCCCTGTCCTCATCACTGCAGCTTCTGTAATTTCCCTGCGATCACGTCTCTGTGTTCAGCAGGGGGCAGTGCAGACTGCCGGAATGATCCTGATGATTCTTAGACCTAAGCACGTCACAGATCTCAAAATATCACACACGACCCTTAGCTGCTCCCACTCTCAGTCCCTGCATTTCTGAGCTCACACACTGTTCCTGTGCACACACACTCAGGTACACCGCCCCAGTGCACATACATATACTCAGGTTCACTGTCCAGTGCACACACACTCAAGTATACCGCCCCAGTGCACACACACACACTTGGGTACACTGCGCCATAGCACCCGCCCTCAGACACACCACTCCATTTCACACACACTCGGGTACACCGCTCCAGCACACACACACACACACACACACTCAGATACACCACCCCAGTACACGTGCACATACTCAGGTACACCACTCCAGTGTGCACACACACACAGTTGAGTACCCTGCTCTGATGCACACACACACTTCACTTTCAGGTACACCGCTTCTGAGCATGCACACTCAGACACTGCCCAGTGCATGTGCACAGTCAAGTACACCGCCCAGTACTCAAACACACACACACTTGGATACACCGCCCAGTGCTCACACACACACTTGGGTATACTGCTCCAGTGCACGCATGGACACTCGAGTACACAGTGAAGTCTTTGCTCTTGAACACTTTTAAGAGGTCTTGTGCAGTAGATTTACCCAGTGCAATCTTTTGTTTGCTCCTTTTTTTAAAAGTTTTTATTGTGAATTGAGTGATAGTTTATATAGGAGAATATCAGCTTTACATTTATCTTACTGTATTTCATTTAGTTAAAATAATCACAATTCCCTCCATGCATCATCATTCAATAGCATTTGCTTCTATTCCCTTTGTGGGTTTTTTTTGTTTTTTGTTTTTTTTTGATGTACACCGAAGCATTCAGGAATATTCAAACAGTCAAAGGGCACACCCCTCAGGCCTGATCCTGACTGTCAGCATACCACACAGCCCCTCTCCCTCCCTGAGTCCCCAGTCCCCAGCTGCTCCATCTTTCCACATCATCACTGCTTCTCTGGATAGGGTCCCACACTCCAGTCTTCTCCCTTGATGGTTCCATGAGTCCTCCGCTCCTGGACTGCAAGATTAACCACTCCTCTCTCTCCTTGTGTCACAAAACATCTGCCTTTATGTTTGCAGCAATCGAAATCAGTCCTGATAGCAGTTGTTCACTATTGAACCGTAAGAATCTTGTCCCCAACTCCTTTCACCAGCCCCGTCCATACAGATTGGAAACCACTCAGTGGAGATTCTACCTTTCTCCGTACTCTCTGAAACTAGGCTTCCTCTTGAAAGCTTGTAAGCCAGTCTCTTCGTGCCTTTGTAACCCCCCATCTTGGGTAGCCAATGTCTAAGCTGGCTACCCATTCCTGTCAACGCTGTGTACAGAGGGGGTGGCAATGATCCTTGCTGTAAAGATTTATTCCCTCTTTTAAGCTGCTGCATCCATAGGTGTAGGTCAAGTTTGTTTGCTCTCTTGACTGCTGCTCCACGAGTAGTGCTTGTGGGCTGACTTAATGCTGGGCTTCTGACTGGTACTGAATCGTCTCATGAGGGCAGATGGACCAGTGCTCTCATCCTGACACTTTGCGAGTCGCGGTCAGCTGCTAGCAGTGGTTTCCTGGGGTTCTTTCCACTATGAAATAGCTTTGCTGCAAATCTTCTTTCTGGTCAGCTGGCTGCTGGCCTGGTAGTCCCCCTGGGTGGACACTGTGGACCAGGCTTGAGCTAAAGAGGGCCGATAGTACACGGGTCTTGTCGACTCATGTGTGTGGTTTGACTCTCAGGTGGACAATCTCTTGCTGGTCGTCACGCAGTCGGCCCATCTCACGGTCCAGAGGAAAAACTTCCAGCAGTCCATGGAAGGACTCCTGAGCCTCCGCCAGGAGCAGACGTCCAGCCAGCTGGTCATTGCCAAAGCTCTGCAGCAGCTCAAGGTATTTCTCCATCCCACCTCACTCACGTGTGCGTGGAGTGTAGGATTGGGATAGAAACAGAACCAATGCACGACTGCATAATGGTGGGCTGGCTGGTTTGGTCAAAGCTGAGATTGGAACTTAGGCCTTGTAGGAGCCCTGGTGGTGCGATGCTTAAAATGCTTCACTGCCAACCAAAAGGTCAGTCGTTCAAACCCACCCGCCGTTCCTTCAGAGACAGTTGTGACAGTGTGCTTTGATCCTCGCCAGCACTCTGTCGTGGTTCTTGTCTTTCCTGTAAGGGTCACTGAGAGTTGGAAGTTGCTCAGTGGTAACAGTGTGTTTGGTTTTATTTCGAATCCAGGTTTCTTCTTCCTTGAGGGGGGTCCCATGTCAATCATGTGTAATCATGAAGAAGAGTTCCTTATTCTTTCACTTAACAGGGAATTCACGAAGCTGACTAGAGTGTTAGAAGCAAGGTGGAGACAGGCACAGATGCCTTCTGAAGTATTAAAGCCCAAGTGTGGCTTTCTTGTCACCTTCTTCTGTGTCCACCAGGGTCTGTCTCCTTTGATTGCCCTTGTTCTCATCCACACCTTCCTCCAGCCACCACAGTCACATGACTTCATTCTGGTTTTTTCATAAAAAAGTTAGTGTTTTTTTTTGCACGAATTGAGTGAAGGTTTACAGAGCCGATCAACAGTTTTATTATATCCAACAAGCCGTACTCTTGGTTTTGTTTCAGTGATTGCAGTCCCCTCTGTGTCCATCAGCGAGTCGTGTTTGTCTCTCCTCCCTGTGTCCCCCATTCAGCTTCCCTCTGTTGTGTCTTGCCCTCCCTATCACCCAAGGTAACACATCTGCCCTCCAGCCAGTGACAAGACTCGCCCTCCCTCCCACCCGTGGTAGCCACCATGGAATTTTTCTTTAAGTGACAAACCTTCTCCTTGACTTTTACAGCAGTGGGCTCACACAGCATTTGCCCCTTTACAACTCATTTTCCTCAGCATCATGTCCTCCAGGTCTGTCCATGTTCTTCACGGTTTCCAGATTCATCATTCTCCCTCAGCGTTGCTTAATAGTACAGCATGGCTTCTTAAAGAAGCACTTCCTGACATTGTAAGTTGTTTGAGAAACATTTGGTTTTCTTCATCAATTGGATTTGACTTTTTCAACTAAATACTAACTAAAGATCTCTCTCCCTCAAGGGCCGGGACTTGGTTTAATTTTTTGTTTGAATCCGTAAACTCTGGGTAGAATGCACAATAATGTGAGTTGTTGATGCCAGTGTACTTCTGCTGAAGGAGTTTGTAGTCCTGATGACCTGGACAGTTCCACCAAAGTACAGAGGAGGCGACATTAGAACCTCTGATGAAGTGCTTGGCTGGTAATTGAAGGGTCAGAGGTCCAGACCCACCAGCTGCTCCTCAGGAGAAAGGTGGTGTGAGTCTTCTGTGTCTGCTCCATAGCAGTGGTTTGGGTAGCAGCTGGGAATGGCTCCCGGGAGGAGCTCAGAAGAGACACATTGGGCAGGAACAGAAGAAAGGACCAATGAGCCGCTGTGTCTGAGGCGCCAGGTTCGGGCATGCTCACTGTGCAGCAGCGTCTGATTTGGCTGCATCAAAAAATGGAGGAGATGAGGCTGGTCACATACGGAGAACAAGACTCAGCTTGTGGGGAGAGGCTGGAGTTTCTTTTGGAAACATTGGGAAGTGGTTGAAGATTGTCCAAAATTTCTAAAGGAGGGTTGGCTTTCGAGAGCGAATTTTGGTAGCACCTTGTAGAGCGTTGCATGATGGTGATCACGTGCCCATTTGTGTTGAGGCGTGGCTGCCTTGAGCAGGGCGAGGAAAGCTTGAACAAGGGCAGGGTCCCTCAAACTCCATGCTTCTGACTGTTCAGGCCACCCTGTCTGTGTGGTGGGGGCCATCCTGTGCATTGTGGGGATAGCACAGAAATACTGCTAGACACCCAGGTGCCAGTAATACGTAGACCTTGCAGGCGTCTCTGTATAGGCAGAATCACTCAGGGAAGACCCCCTGAACAAGAACGTAACAGCAGACTCGGGAAGGCCCTGTAGAATAGACTAGTGGTTTTGCCCATGGAACTGCCCCAGGCCTGGTTTTGAGCAGCTAGCTGGTGGGCGGTGGGGGGAGGAGGGACGGACTACAGGCGGTCGGCATACAGACAGACTGGAGACATCTGCATCTGTTCAGAGACGAGATTGTAATTTGGCATGGTCATTTGAAACGTGTTTCAGAACGATAGATTTCTTGAGGTTAAAGGAGTCCTGGTGTGGCGCTGTGGGTTAGTGCGCCAGTCTGCAAAGCTGTTTGAATTTCAAGGTTGGGGGTTCAAGCTCACCAGCTGCTCCTCGGAAACTGTATACAGGGTCAATATGGGTCGAAACCGACTCGACGGCACTTAACAACAACAACAAAATATGGAAAAGAAAAGACCCTGCTCTCTTTTGGCCATGCCTTCGGAATCCTCAGAACAAGCATGGCTGAGACCCATGGCAGCGGTTCTCTTCCTAATGACAGCCCCGTGTCATCTGTTGCATTTCTGACTCTTTAGAATGATGCGTTGGAGCTGTGCAGCAGAATAAGCAATGCCATTGACCAAGTTGACCACATGTTCACAGCAGAGTTTGACGCTGAGGTGGACGAGTCCGAGTCTGTCACGTTGCACCAGTACTACCGAGAAGCCATGATTCAGGGATACAACTTTGGGTTCGAGGTAGGTACCAAAGAGGAGGGAAACACAGTGCAACTTTCCAATTGTTTTGTAACTGACAAAAAGTGTTCTCAGTCTTGTTGGCCAATTTTGCTTTCTTTTGTATTGTCATTTCTTCTGTTGTGATTGTTCAGAACATCCACCAGTCCCACAGTTCCTACATGGACCATTTAGTGATGCTCAATGGTCGACCTGTACAGCCATTCTTAGCTCCTCTTCTGAATTGTCTCTTCACTAAAAGCGATGGCTCCCTGCCCCTCAGGTCTGTAGCTCATCTTTCTAGTTGCTGTTGTCTCCTTGAACCATTTAGATACATCTTGAGCCCAGGTGTGGTGCTGTAGGATAAATACTGAACTGTTAACCAATAGGTCAACAGTTCAAATCCACCTGTTGCTCTCGGGAACCCTGCTGCAGGATCACTGCACGTTGGAACCAGAACCGACTCGATGTCACATAACAAAGATGATTCCTAAGAGAGCAAGATGCTCAAGGCGCAGACATTGTTACCACTTAACCTCAACTGTCCTGTGTGACACTGTAGGATATGCACTGGACTAGTAACTGTAAGGTTGGTGGTTCAAGCCCACCTGTCATTCCTTGTAAACCTGCTCTGAGCCAGAACTGACGTGACAGCTCTTGATAACCTCAACAGTTGTTTGGTTTTGAGAAGACTTCAGGGCTATTTCTGGTTTAAGGGTTAAAGATGATCTCAGGGTAGTAGTTTCAGAAGTTTATCTGATGGCCTCTATGACTCCAAGAAGTCTGGAGTCATGTGAATTTGAAGTTCTGTTCTGTATTTTTTCCCTTTTGGTCAGGATTCTTCTACAGAATCTCTGAGTAAAATGCTCTGAAATGGTAGTATCTAGTATGCAGCTCTTCTAGTCCCACGTCAGAAGAGGCAATTAACCATCCAACCCAGGTCCTGGGAATCCCTGGTGGTCCTTCGTGCTGCTGTCCCAGGTGCCCAGTGTGTGCCATAGGTGACCACTTCCAGGGACGGTTTCCTGAGCAGATTAGGTTTCCATTCAACGGTTCACCCACGTTGTGCCTGTTAGTTGCAATCACAACGTAGTCAAGATAGTATCTTGTAACTGCGGCATGTGGATGTGTGCATTTCCTTGAAAACTGTCAGGTAGCTACCCAATTTTTATTTTGTGTTAACAGCTATCTACTTCCATATAACTCTTTTGTAAGAGGGTGTAATATTTTGAAAGCACATTCCTAATTAAGTGATTTTTTAGAAACAGATGAGTATTGAACATTTATAAAACTCTATTTTGAGACACGAAACTTCCTAAGTGTTCCATATTCTTTTCAGAGTATGTAAATAGCAATTGGGTTTTGCTTGTGATTTCACACAGTGACATTTTAAAAAGAAAGACATTGTAGTGTTTGGGCATTTATTTAACAGTGGTTTTCTTCTTAATCTTGCTATGCATGAAATCTTCTTTCAGTATCATAAGGAAGTTGTACGTTTGATGTCTGGAGAGTTTCGACAGAAGATCGGAGACAAATATATAAACTTTGCCCGGAAATGGATGAACTACGTTCTGACGAAATGTGAGAGCGGCAGAGGTACACGACCCAGGTAATGAGCACATTGCGTATGGGTCCATGGGATTGGCCGCGTTTTACTGAGTCCGTGGGTCGGGCTTGTTTACTGAGTCCGTGGGATTGGCTGCGTTTTACTGAGTCTGTGGGACTGGCCCTGTTTTGCTCCCTACATGCTACTTAGAGCTTTGTCAGAAGACGTCACCAAGAGGAAGACTCTCAACTCTTTCGTGACCAGTTGTTTTTCAGTGAAGATTTTTATATGGAAAATCCCGTTCTTCTTGGAAACGTTTTGTTTTTGTTTCAAACTGCGTTATCTCTGAGGGAGTTTGCATTGTGCTGGACAAATTCTTCCTAGTTACTCATCTTTTCCCTCCCTGGTAGAATTTATTCCTGTTACTAAGTTCTTATTTTAAGATGTCAAGTTCTTATTTCTCAAAGGATCTCACTCTTGGTGTTTTCAAGCGCAGCCAACACTTATCCATAGACACGTGGTTGTGGTGGACTGCAGTTTCCAATCAGATTCCTGTTGGGTGTTGTTAATTAAAGTGCTGCCTTATTGTCTTAGTGGTTTTGTAAATGTTAAACTTTTTCCTATCACAGGTGGGCAACTCAAGGATTTGATTTTCTACAGGCCATTGAACCTGCTTTTATTTCAGCTTTGCCAGAAGATGACTTTCTGGTACGCAATTTTCTAAAAGTTTATTTTTTCCTTTTTCCATTACAAACAAGTAGATCTTTGGGTGTGCTTTGATTATGTGTCTTTTTCTTCTATACTGAATGTTGTTATTAAGTGCTGTCGAGTCGGAATTCCGACTCTTAGCTACCTTGGGTAGGGTTTCTGAGGAGCGACTGCTGGGTTTGAACCTCCGATCTTGCAGTTCAAACCAACCTTGCAGTGGAGTGCTGATCTTACAGCGTCACCCCAGGACTCACCATAGTGAATGGTGGTGGTGGTTCTGTGCCGTGGAGTCAGTTCCAACTTATAGTGACCCTGTACAGGGTTCCCGAGGCTGTAAATCTTCACAAGAGCAGATAGCCTCATCTTTCTCCCATGGATTGGCTGATAGTTTCAAACTGCTGACCTTGAGGTTAGCAGCCCGACAAGGTCAGCAGCCGGACTCCTAAGCACTAAGCTACCAGAGCGCTCTCCCAGAGTGAATAATGGCTCTTAAGTCGTCTGTATATCATTGTGATGATAATGCTGGGAATGGAAGCCTTGTGCTCTTGTCTTTTTTACAAACAATACTGTTCTGCCAACTCTTGAGTGCATAGTTCAGAACCTTGGCACTTATAAAACATTTGTTAGTTTTGAATTTTAAAAAGCTGCCAACTTGGTCACCGTGTTTTGGCAGTTAAATGAGGACCAGGGATTAGCTAGCTTTCTTTCAGTGTGAGTCATTACAGGGCAGAATGCCAGCTGTTATGTATTGGCGCTGTTACACCCATCAGCTCCTCAGGGTGCTCGGAATCCAGACTCCCTTCTGTCCCCCGAGCAGTAGTCTTGCTGCCGTGAAAAGTCCTGTGCTGGGCACACAGCTGTGCTGTGAGAATGGCGAGCCAGTGCACTTCTGTTAATGGAGACGGAATTGCGTACTGTTAATGGAGACGGAATTGCGTACTGTTAATGGAGACGGAATTGCGTACTGTATCCTTGTAAAGTATGTAGGACGCGTGCTTATTTTCTTTTAAAGTTAGCTTAAAACTAAACTTGGCTTTAAAAATGTTTAAGGATGGCATGTTTCTTCTGAATAAGCTGGGAACCTCATTTGTGCCTATTTATGAAATGAAAGGATTATACATGTCTTCACGTCCCCATCCTGTTTTCCTTTGGTTTCCAGAGTTTACAAGCCTTGATGAACGAGTGCATTGGCCACGTTATAGGGAAACCGCACAGTCCCGTTACAGGTTTGTACCTTGGTAAGACAGCCGTTACTAGCAAGTCTCCCAGAGCGAACTGGTGTGGGTGAGCTGTGCACATGTAAGGTGGTATAGCAGGAGCCTCAGGAAAGTTCAGGAATGTGACAATCAGTTACAAAGGAGGTGTATATGGAGAGGACTTGGCAGAAGCCCTCTCAATCCACCATGAGGTAGTCCATGCTAGCCTGCCCCCATCCAACCACACATTTGGTCTATTTTTTGCACACCAATAACTACTTATTGTTGTATCTGGTGGGTAGGCGGGACAGTGGGGGTCCTGGAAGACAGTTGTCCATCAAGGATTAAGAGCCCCTCTAGCTACAGGCTGCAGAGCAGCAGGGCTGACCTCCTGCCTCGTCCTTTGAAGGAGAAAATGTGCTTTGTTTACTCCACACCTTTCCTCAGGGCTCTGTTCCCCATGACCTGGCAAATTCCAATCTAGTGTTACTGAAACTCAAATTCCCGTAGGCCTAATGCGCACTACTGTCTTCCTTCTCTGGTGCAGCTGTAACAGAGGTGCCACAGGGGGCTGGCTTTAACAAACACAGGTCTTTTCTCACAGGTTCGGAGGCTGGAAGTCCTAATTCAGGCTGCTGGTCTAGGGGACAGCTCCCTCTGTCAGTTCTCGTGGCGGGTCTCCTCGTGCATCTTTGCTTCTTTAATCTCCCTTGTGGCTCACTAGACATGGACTTAATTAACATAAAGACTACACTGATCCTGCCTCATTAGCAGAACAGAAACAACCTGCTGCCAAATGAGGTTAGGACCACAGCACAGAGGTTCAATTTTACACTTGTTTTGGGAACATAATTCAGTCTCTGATGTACAAAAAAGAGAAATCCATGGCCTTGTCCTTACTACATGTAAAACACAGTAGCCCCATCACCTCCTCCCAAAAGTCTTAAACCAACTGCAAGCTCAAATCTCATCTTCTAAATCATTTGTCTCAAATACAGGTAAGACTTGAGGAGTATTCTATCCTAGGGCAAACTTCCTCTTCTGTGAATCTTGGAAATCTAGAATATAGGTTGTTTCCAAGTACAGTGGTGGAATGGGCAAAAGGTAGATAATTCCGTTAAAAATGGGAGGAAATCCTCTCCGAGTCCATCTGAGCAGAGGGCCTGCCATGCAGACGCTGGGTGTTGGCCATGCTCTCTGGATTCTGTGTGAAGGCGCCAATTTCCAGGCCTTCACCTCCACCTTCCAGGCCCTTTGGGGTGGCCAGGCTGCTCACTTGGCATTGTTGTTGTTAGGTGCTGTCCAGTCATTACTGACCCATAGCCACTTTATGCACCACACAACGAAACACTGCGGGGACCTGCACCAGTCTCACCATTGTGGCTACACTCAGTCCATTGTTTGTGTCACTGGGCCAGTCCAGCTCGTTGGGGTCTTCCTCTTTTACACTGACTTTCCACTTTATCTAGCATGATGTTCTACTCCACGGACTGGCTCCCCCTAATAATATGTCTGAAGTCTGAGAGACGAAGTCTGGCCGCTCTGCCTTCTAAGGAGCGCTCTGGCTGCACTTCTTCCTACGCAGACTTGTTTGTTCTTCTGGCAGCCCATGGTATTTTCAATATTCTCCTCTAGCACAGTGACTCAAATACATCAGTTCTTCTGTTGTCTTCGGTACTCACATGCATATGAGGTTATTAAAAATAACCTTGGTCCTCAAACTGACATTTTGCTTTTAAACACTTTAAAGAGGTCTTGTGCAGCAGATTTGCCTAATGCAATACGTCATTTGATTTCTTGACTGCTGCTTCCATGAGTGCTGATGGTCGATCCAAACAAAATGTAGCGTTTGACATGTCAGTCTTTTCTCCGTTTATCTTGGTTTATTTACCGGTCCAGTGGTGAAGATTTTTGTTATGTTTACATTGAGGTGCAACCCATACTGAAGACTATGGGCTGTGATCTTCTTCAGTAAGCATTAGCTTTCAGCAAGCAAGGTTGTATCATCTGCATATCGCAGGTTGTTAATGAATCCTCCTCTAATCCTTATACCACATTCTTCATCATATAATCCAGCTTCTCAAATTAATTTGCTCAGTTTACAGACTGAATAATAAGGATGGTTAAAGACTACAACCCTGGTGCACACCTTTCCTATTTTATACCAGTCAGCGTTCCCTTGTACTGTGCGAACAGCTGTCTCTGAATCTATGCATACGTTCCTCATGAGCACAATTAAATGTTCCGGGAAACTCATTTTCCACAATGTTGTCTGTAGCTTGTCATGATCCACGTATTCAAAAGCCTGTGCATTGTCAATAAATCACAGGTAGACATCTTTCTGGTATTCTCTGCTTGCAGCCAATATCCATCTGATGTAAGCACTGATATCCCTCACTCCACGCCCTCGTCTGAATATGGCTTGAACCTCTAGCAGTTCACTGTCAGTGTACTCTTGTAGAGGTTTTGAATTATCTTTAGCAAAGTCTTACTTACATGAGTTATTAGTGATATTGTCCAATGATTTCTGCATTCCTTTGGGTCACCTCTCTTTGATAGGCATAGATGAATGAGAAGTCCAACGCTGCATCAGCTTGTTGAAGACTTCAATTTGTATTCCATCTATTCCCAGGGTCTTGTTCGTTGCCAGTGCCTTCAGTGCACATTGGACTTCTTCTGTCAGTATCATTGGTTCGTCGTCATATGTTACCGCTTAAAATGGTTGAACATAAATCGTTTCATTTTGGTACAGTGACGGTATTCCTTCTAACTTCTTTTGGTGCTTTCTGCATCATTCAACAATTTGCCCATAGAATCCTTCAGTAACACAAGTCAAGGCTTGAATTTCTTCTTCAGTTCACTCAGCTTGAGAAATGCTGAGCGAGTTCTTTCCTTTTAGTTTTCTAACTCCAGGTCTTTGCACTTTTCATTGTACTATTTGACATTGTCTTCTCGAGCTGCCCTTTGAAATTTTCTGTTAGCTTTTGTACCTCCTAATTTCTTCCATTTGCTTTCGCATATCTATGTGGAAGAACAAGTTTCAGAGTCTCTTGTGACATCCATTTTGGTCTTTGTCTTCTTAATAACTTTTTGTTTTCTTTTTGTATGATCTTGATGTCATCCCACAGTTTTTCTGGTCTTCCATCATTACAGTCTAATACATCAAATATACTCTTGAGATGATCTCTAAATTCAACTGGAATGTGTTGTGTTCATGGTCATATTTTTTTCTCTCATGGAATTATTTTAATTTTCTTCAGTGTCATCCTGAATTTGGGTATGAGCAGTTGGTGGTCTGTTCCACAGCAGTCTGCTCAAGCCTGGCCTTGTTTGGGCTGACGACATGGAGCTTTTCCATCATCTCTTTCCACAGATGTAGATAGTTTGATTTCTGTGTATTGTGTCTGGTGAGGTCTCTGGCATTGTTTGTGTCACCAAGATGATAGTTTCCAACTACTGATCTTCCTTTTGATTTCCAACCTCTGTGTCCCAGTTACCAGTAATTATCAGTGCATCTTGATTGCATGTTTTGCCAATTTTAAACTGAAGAAGTTGGTAGAATTCTTCAATTTCATCATCACTAGCTTTAGTGGTCGATGTGTAAATTGAAGAATAGTCATATTAACTGGTCTTAGGAGGAAGCATAAGGATATTATCCTATCACAGACAACTTATACTTCAAGATAGAACTTGAAATATTCTTTTTGATGATGAGTGTGACACCATTCCTCTTAATTTTGTCATTCCCAGCATAATAAAGCATGTGATTGTCAGATTCATAATGGCCGGTACCAGTCCATTTCAGCTCAGTAATGCCTGTGATGTAGTCTTGGTGTGGTGCTGTAGGGTAGTCACTGGACCACAAGGTCAGTTTGAACCATAAAGTCAGTGGTTCAACCTCACCAGCTGTTCCTCTGAAACCCCATACTGGGTGACTACAATTCGGAACCGACTTTGATGGCACTTAATAGTAACAATGCCTAAGATATCAATGTGTACGTGTTCCATTTTTTTTTTTTTTTTGATAACTTCTAATTTCCGTATATTCTTACTTCGTATGTTCCATGTTCCAATTATCAATGGATGTTTACAGCTGATTCTCCTCATTGTGAGTTGTGCCCCATCAGCAAGTGAGCTGTCATCATGCTCTCCTCTACTCTGAGGAGGCAGCTCTTTCCCAGTCGTATTTTGAGTGCCTGCCAACCTGAGGGGCTCATTTTCCGGCACCATATCTGACAATAACCTGGTGCTCTTCATCATGGTTCAGAATTCAATATTCTGGTGCGGACAGTGTTCCTCTGCTATTCATAAGGTTTTCAGTGACTATATTTGGGAGTAGTCCATCCATCTCTCCTCCTTCCTTGTGGGTGACCGTCCTGGTATTTAAATACCAGTGGCATAGTTTCCAGAATCACAGCAGCATGCAGGCCACCACAGTGTGACAAACTGACAGACGAATGGTGACCCTTGGCATTAGTGACCCATTTTTCTAGTCCATCTGAGTGGAAACCTCACCCCCTTGGCCCCAGCAGACCTCATTCTTTTTCCCCTTGAACATGGCAGTCCTGCCACCCAGCTCTGGTGGCAACCCCATCCCTGGCACACCTTACCAGCAGCCCACATGCCAGAACCAAGTTAATGAAGGTGGGTCTTTTTTTTTTTCTTTTGGTAACTTACATGACTGTGGCCCCACCCTTTGAGATATAGGAGACCACGGGCCCACCCTTTGAAACCAAGAAGATCCCACTTCCTACATTCTTTCCAGTAATCCTTCTGTTCTCCAAGCTGATCCAGGGATGGACCTTTTCTTGGAGGACAACTGATGTAGCTCCTTTGGCCTCTTTTCTGCTTGTAGAATTACAACAGGCGAACCGCCTTCCTTTCCTTTCAGTCTTTTTTCCCCTTCAGTGTAAGCTGATGAATTTTCTACACTGATAATTGATTAGACCCATAAGTCAACAGGTTTAATCTAGTTAACAAAAGATCCTTTAACCATGCCCTTTTGAACATTCCTCATTTGTACAACAGCATTTTCCAAATCTTTAAATTCTGTTGTTGTTTTGCACCGTTCACTTTTCAGTCCATCTCGTTCCTCTATCATTTCACTATAAATGGCGAGGAGACCCGTGTTGCCCTATAAGAGTTTGCTTCAAAAATCTCCTCAGCCAAATACCCAGGTTTATCCCTTACAAGTTCTACCTTCCACTGAACGTTTGAACAGAATCCAGACAAGCTCTTTGCCATGCACGGTATGAAAAGTATCATCCTCCCTCCATTGTGTGGTCAGATGTTCGTCACTTTCTTCTAAAGCCTGGCCAGAAGCATGTTTAGCATCCATATTTCTAGCAACATTGTGTTGCTTGGTGCTGTCGTAGATATTCTTTATAATAGCTGTAGTTCTCATGGCCTTCTGGTCTCTCACCAGAATTGACTGTGATGTTTATAATTCTATCAACAAGACTCTTCAGTACAAGCGAGGCCTTTACTATTAGGCACCTTGAAATTCTTCTAGCTGGTACCATCTGTGAAAACCACGACACACTCTTCTGTTACCAAATTCTCAGTTCTCTAGAGATGTGACAACAGAAGAACCACGTGTGGATGTGAACAACAGGATCTCCAGAGCAGCAGCTCTTGGGGAAGACCCGAGCCTCTTCTGTGCGTCTGCCCCTGCGTTGTGGGGCTTGTCCTGTGTCTTCACCCAGCTCTGCTCTGCTTGCTTGTGTCATTTCTGTTATATCTCAGGAGAGCTGGGCTCAAGATAACATTCTCCACTGATCCTGCCTCATTGACAGAACACAGACAAATGCGATTATAGCCTCAAGCATTGAAGGTGACTTACAACACATATTTTGGAGCTCATAATTCAATTCATAACTATCACCTTCATTGCAGTCTTTAATGTATTTCTTGAACCCTTAAAAACAAAGTACACATCAGGGAACATGTCTAAGCACAGATCAGTGTTTTGCCCATTAGCTGTGACTTCCTGTATTCTTGAGATATGTGTAGATAAAACAAAGCTATTTGTATATTCAAAAAAGAAATTACATATAATCTAAATTATACACACAATAAATAATTCATTAATGGTACCTATATTGAACACAAACAACATTTGTTTGCTACAAAAACTTTTGTTGTTGTAGTTAAGTGCTGTCGAATCCGTTCTAACTCATAAAGCTACTGTATAGGGTTTCCAAGGGCAACTGGTGTGTTTGAACTGCTGACCTTGCAGTCCAGTGCTTATCTTAGAGCCCCACACCAGGAAGACTCTAGTAGCCTACATTTTGGTCCTCAACTTCTTAATCATTGAAATACAATATTAGCGCCTCTTTTTTACCCCAGGACTATCCTTTTTTTTTCATTTGCCCCAAGAAATGAAAGTTTCCATCCACAAAATTATCTGAGTGTTTATAAGACGTTCTGTATTCCTATCAGAATATGGCTTACCACAAATAAACTTTGATTCTTTGATTTAAAGTATTTTTCAATATGATATACTAGTCCAGTAAAACTTACTTCAAATGTTTTATCTTACTAAATGATTCATCAAACCATTGTGATAATAGGAGGGTTTCATGTGACGATATAGGCAGTATATGTGTAGAAAAGCTTAAGAGTGCCCTCCTCACTGCCCACCCCCAGCATGGCTGCATCTCCTCGTGCCGCTGCACAATGCGTGGACAGCCACTCTGCCCGCTCATTGATTGTGGAGCCTCACGATACATCATAGACATAGGGTTGTAGTGATGAGGGTACAGTGTGGTGATAACATTGTGTATGCTGTCATGTTCTGCACGGGGTCTGGTCACCAGCGTGTGCTCTTCAATGTAATCGACAGTGAGTGCGCATCTCTCCTCTGCTCTGCCCTGTTGCTAATGACAGCAGCTGGCTGTGCATGCATGAGTGCCATGTATTTGCGCGTACAGCCTCCACTCTGCCGACATCAGACCTCACTGCCTGTGGTTCTCTTGTATTATCATCTGACCAGCGTGGAAATTGCTCCACATCGGCGGGTACAGAGCTGATGCGTTCCCTTCAGCGGCTGAGTTGTGACCCCTGTGGACAGTCCACAGTTCTTTCTCCCTTTAGACTAATTGCTCAATGTCATTGCTAATCCCAGAAGTTCCCTGAGATCATGTTGCTAGTGCCGCCTGGGTCGGTTCCAACTTAGAGCAACCTTGGGCAGAGTTTCTGAGGTTGTAAATGCGAATTCTCTCCTTATCCTCCAAGCATCTGTTTTGTTGTGTTTTGCCTTGAAAATCTTCTCCATCATAAGCATTCATCACTCACATCTATTTTATGGCTCATTGCCATGGTTTCCAACCTTACATGCTACATGCACATCCTCTTTTATGTTGTATTTCATTCTTTTGTGCATGATTAATATTAAGCCCTGGTGTGGAGCTATGGGTTAATGCGCCAGACTGAAAAGCCGTTGGAACTGCAAGGTTGGCGGTTCAAGCTCACCAGCTGCTCCTCAGAAACCCTCTCCAGAGTTGCTATGGGTCAGAACCGACTCGATGGCACTTAACAACAACAATATTAAGCAAGTGTGCTTTGGTTTTGCTTTTGTATCTTCACAAGAAAACTTTGTAGTGACACTTGAGTCAGTTGTTCCCAGTGTCCCTGTTGGAGTAGAGATGCCACCACAGCACTGTCACTACATCATGCCTTAGTGCTGCCGGTTTCTTTTCACTTGACAATTTAGAAATGGTTAAAATAGCAACCAGGGACAGAAATCCCCAGTGTTTGTGTCGTCTTCAGAACTTTCATGTTTGGAAGGAGCCCTGGTGGTGTGGTGGGGTAAGCACTGGGCTGCTAGCCACAAGAGTAGCAGTTCAAACCCATCAGCCACTGTGCTGAAAGAGATTACAGTCCAGGAACCCTAGTGAGCAGTTCTCTGTCCTGTGTGGCCACATCACCGTGGTGGCTGTGAGTTGTGTCCTGGGCAAGGTGATAAACAGCCAGTGAGAAAGGAAAGCTTTCCACTGAGGATCAAAGACACTAACCACCGTGAAGACAGGAGAGACTGGAAAGGAGGACACTAAACAGGAAATCCAAGCTCAGGTTCCGCAGAAAGTGTTAGTAGAAGGGCAGTGTGGTCGGGAGAAGCAGACGCTCGTCAGGGAGTTCCTGGGAAAGCAGCGTTGTCAGCATTTTTGTCATCTACTAAGTAAGGTCTCGTTTTAAATGTTTATCTACTATCATGTTTACCTCCTGCCAGAATTTCTCAGTGGAGAAAACATGCTCTGTAGACAGAAGTGTTTTGCTGTGCTCTGTCCACCTGGCGTGATCGTAGGATGAAGCAGATAGTGCTCAGTATACCAGGGAAAGAGACACCCCCTCGCTCACCCTGATCAGAGCTCATGTGCTGAACGTTTTAAAGGTGACACCCCCGTGTTAGTGGGATGCCACGCATGTCATCATTCATTCTGTTGGCTAACGCAGCACACACTCTGTGTACGTCAGAGCCAGGTTTTTCAAAATGGTTTTGATGGAGAAAAGTCTCAGTGTTGCCTAGAACTAAATTAGCATTTAAAAGGTGAAATGCTTTTTGTAACGTGCACATGTGATGTGATTGTTATGTATGTCAGTGGATTCTTTAGGTCGCCGACATGCACACTTACTTGCCGGCGGTGGCAGTCTTCGATCGCTCCCTTAACACACAGTATTTATTGCCATTTTTCACTAGCAGCAATCCACCGGAACAGCCCCCGTCCTGTGAAGGTGCCTCGATGCCACAGCGACCCACCGAACCCCCACCTCATTATCCCCACTCCAGAGGGGTTCAGGTATTTGGTGATTCTCTTGTCTCCTAGAATCTTCTTGATGTGCATGCAGATTCTCTCAGACCCTGGGTGCTTGCTTCTGGTCACTCGCGTATTCTGCGGATCCTTGTTCCTACCTTGTTAGCCGCTCCTGTGCGTGTTATCTTGAAGACACCCCAGTGTCTCTGCGGCACATGTAAAGCAGACATCAACTTTTCAAGATAATTGCTTATTTATAAACGCTTCACTAAATGCTTTCCAGCTGTGCTGTGGAGGAATTCGATCTTTTTCTTTCTCTGAAAAAATGACCTTAGAAAAACAGGATTGAGTGTGCATAGCATAATCAGCATTTGAAATCAATACTGAAAGTAGAGAGGAGTCTGAAATGATTGTTCCAGTGTCCACTTTCCTATACAGACTTCAGAAGCTCCTTGGGTACAGAATGAGCTTAGGAACAATGGCAGTCCAAAGCAGTCATCTTTAATGTGGTGGAAATTCTGCATTTTGAGGTCTTAAGCATTGCCTTGTCCCCTGTATATTCCTTTGGGAAAAAGTTCATTGTTTTGGGAGGAGTGAACCACAAACATTTTTTTTTCACAGCTTTGAAGTTCTTTTTTTATTTTTCTTTCTTCTTCTACAACTAGCCTTGAATCTCAATTAAAGAACAATTTGCTTGTTTATGTAAACATTTTTTTTTTCCACTTCACCATCCTTATTTTAAATTGAAAAAAGCTTTAGCATCCCCTGTCTTCCTGGCTGTGTTCTGAAGCTTTTCTTCTTGTCTTAGCACTCGGAGTATGCCTTCGGATGCGCGGAGCCACGGCAGCCCTGCCGCCGCCACTGCCGCCGTCGCCGCCGGGCGCCCCAGCCCCTGTGGCAGCGACGCTGCGCCCCCCAAACCCACCAGCAGTACCCCTGAGACCAGGTAGTCCCCCTCCCCAATGTCCTATCTGCCTGCGGCCTCAGGTCCACTGGACAGTGACCTGAGCAATAGGCTGGGTCAGGAACAGGACAGGGAGCCAACAGGGCTTCTGCCCATCTTGGCTCTCGGAGGGATAGAAGTTGTTCCACAGGGAAGAGGCCTGATCAGTTTAGCCAGTAGCTGCTCAAAGATGAGTTAAATAATTGTAGGTGGTGGGTTTAAGGATTTTTCTAGAAGAGTCCATTTTCTAACCAAGTTTCCTAATTTTAAACCGTGTTGGTTAGAAGTATTTTACAAAATTACAAAGAGCACTTAATGGCGTTTGTTTCTCATCTGACCAGAGAGAGCAGGCGTGTGGCAACGTCAGCCTTGTGGGCAGTTCAGCAGGAAGGCTGGCCTTGCTGCGTCCCCGTCCTTGTTGAGTTTTGGTCAGTTTGTCCAGGGGGTTCCAGTGAGCTCAGCGGAGACTGGACTGCGGGTTGGCGTTCAGCTCCACGCAGGCAGTGGGAGGGCGATCTGATCCGCAGGGTGGAATTGTAGCAGAGCTGTGTTTCCCTGGAAGCATGCAGTGGCACGTCGGCAGGAAGGCCATGGCGGCTGTGGGGACTAAAATAGACTGCCTGCTTTTCCACAGTCTGCAGTTTCTAAAGTGTTTCCAGTTAAATATTTAATATTCCTAATTTTTAGTGATAAATATCTATAACCTCAAAATGTCAAAGTATTTTGCAGCTAAAACCATCAACTAAAACAATTAACTGTTAACTTGGAGCCAGAGCCCACTTACTTTCTTTACTTGGGACACGTGTACCCCACTTTACACTATTGAGAAGATCTTTCCTACCAGCGGCAGGGCCCAGGAGCACACAGAAGTGAGGTGACTGAACCTTTACCCCATGTCCGTTCAGACAGATTTCTCCAGAACTAAAACACAGAGTAGGAAAGACACCATTTTTAAAGGTTCCCAAACCAGTTTAAGGTCTTTATCATTTGGTGGTATAGCACTTCAACATACAAGGATAGATTCCAAAAGTTCATGGAAAATTTTCATTTTTAAAACTCCATTTGTCCACAAACTTTTTGAAGCCTCCTCCCATTGTATAGTAAGAGTTAAACCTAGTATCTGGAGTTCTGGTGTGGCACTATAGGATACGCACGGAACTGCTAACCACAGGCTGGTGGTTAAAACCTACCAGCTGCTCTTCAGAAACCCTTTACAGGGCCCCTCTGAGTGGGAACTGACTCAGGTACACAACCCCATGTATGATAAAGGCCCTTTCGTGCATTCCATCTTAGACTTTGCACAGTTTTTCGGTGTGTTATGTATGTATAACTACATTTCACACCTATTTTTCATCTTGAATTCAAACGTATTTCAGAAAGCTTTCATATTTAGACATTTTAATGCCATCATAATAGATTATAATTTTAATTAGTATTGAAATGAAATTCACCTAATCTGCAAGTAGCCATGTGAAAGGGCCAGTCTAGTGGCACTTAATACAGTTACAGGGAGAAAAATGAGGCTTTCTACTTCCCCAAAAGCCTCAGAAACCCTATGCAAGGCCATTGCGAGTCGGAACCGACTCGACCACACTTAACAACAAGTACTGTTACGGCGTTGTGCAGCAGCCCTGTCTGCCTCGTTTGAAAACTGTTAGCACCACAGAAGCGCAGCCTCATGGACGCTGTGTTGAAGACCACTTTTTGCAAAGGAATGACTATGAGTCTACAGAGCCACATCAAGAGGGGGCTGCTGGTTGGCGCGGCCCCGCATGCACACGGTTCAAGTGCGGTGAATCCATCTGACCATCAGAACTCCATCGAGGTTGCCGAGTCCTGGGTGCACTCTGCCAGAGCCTGACACACATCCTGCCAGGGCTTTGTGAATGTGCTGGCTGCCCTCAAACCCTCATGTAAACATAGGCGCACAACTACACTGCGGGACCCCTAGCCGTCTTAAAGACTTATGGGCCAAATAAAATCGAACGTAGTTCCCCCTTAGTTCTGGGTGTGATTGGCTGACTGTTGTGTACTGAGCGGCTTGGCCAGGCCGGTGCTCCATGAGTCAGAGCCCCGAGTGAATCTTCTGGGGATTTGGCAAGAAGGACATGTTCTGCCCAGCAGAAGCAACATGCTTCCCCTTTCCTCTTCCCCTGGAGCTCTGTTTTCTTTAAAACATTTCTGTGTATTTTTTGCCATCTCTCTGTGGACAAGCCTCTGTAGGCAGGAAATTGGCCGACATCCCCCAGAGAATATCAGAAAACTTGAGGTGTTTGAGGAGTGGTCCCTGGACTCACCACCTTTGACGTTGCTCTGGAAGAGTAGCTAGTTCAGGGAGCAGCTGACACTTGAGATGAACTCCTTGGTGGTAGGGAGACCTCACTGGTATGCGCCTAGATTCGAAGCTTTCGGAACTAAAACATTGCATACCTCAGAACTTGTGAGCATCTCTTCAGTGGGTCATAGGTCTTCAGTATGTGACAAGGGTATGAATGCTTCTACCCTTCCTCATGTTCGTTTACAGAATACACACACTCACTCCAACACAGCCACAAACGAATGTCCCCTGTAGATAGAGTTCTCTGGCTACATCAATGACAGCATTAACGCCCCTTCCTTAATACCTACTCTCTCTGTCTGTGAGCTCCTCTGGCTTGCTGAACATTGGACTTCATTCTGGAAAGCAGCTGATTAACTTTGCTCTTTAATATATGAAGCTTCTTGCTCTTTGATGCTTTCGCTTGGCTACTGCTGGAGAAATGGTTAGGTGTGCAGTCCCGGTTTCTTCTGACTGAGACATTTGGAATTCTTTGGACCAAGTAATTACTGTAGTATTTTAAATAGAATGAAGTCCCTAAACGTGCTTTGATGGTCATTGTAAGTATTAGATGTGGTGAATCCCTTCTTTTCCATTTTTGTCCACCCTGGACTAAAACTACAGAGGTTCCCACTCATGTTAATAACGGTTGTCTAAATACCGTTTTGTTTTTGTTGTTTGTGACCACACAGTGAGGTGGCCTGGCTGTCCTGTGTCAGCTGTGGAGGAATAAAAATGTCACTGGAGAGGAGGGTGCACACAGCAGCATGATCCATTTTGAGTGATTAACCGTCTGCTGTGGGGACTGTCCTGTGTGTTGGCGGAGGGTTAGACCCTCTCAGTCCCTAGACAATGCCACATGCCCACTGGGGACACTCTGCAGGAACCTCCTGGGTGTTTCCTTTTGACTTCCGTTGAATTGATTGCTCGATTTTTGTAAAATATGGAAACAGGGGTTCCAGCGTCCCCGAGAACGACCGACTGGCGTCCATTGCTGCAGAGCTGCAGTTCCGGTCTCTGAGTCGACACTCGAGCCCAACCGAGGAGCGCGATGGTGAGTGTGTAGTTGTGTCTCTGCCGTTCTAGCGTGGAACCCTCTACTGCAGGGACAGGACTCGGGGATGAAGGAGATTTCCTGCTGAGCACATTGGTTTGTTGGTAACTGTAGCTGCATGTTCTAGGACAAATTTCAGTACTCAGATATACATGTGTACACGTAATTTATTCTCACGGGCACTCTGATTCACTTTACGTGCACAGCAGTCATCCTGTGCTCCTTGATGATATGCTGAGGTATGATGGAATCCAGACGTAGGGAGTCTTCGATGAGCCCTGGTGGTACAGTGGTTAAGCACTCAACTGCCAACTGAAAGATCAGCACCAGAGAGAAAGATGAGGCTGTCTGCCACATCCCTAAAGATGGCAGCCTGTGGCGCTTCTGGTCTGTCCTGTAGAGTCATTGTGCATCACAACCAACTCGGTGGCAGCGTGCGTTTCAAGGACAGAATTACTCGTATTACGTACAGCTTTGCTTGAATGTCGGAGCAGAACCTCGTCCAGGCTCATGTTCACTTCTAAGACTTTTAGAAATTCGCCACTTTAGGTTTCAATTAACTAAGTGTGTCTGTTTCATAAATCTCACGAATTTGTATGAAAAAATACTCTCTCTAGAACCTGCATATCCAAAAGGTGATTCAAGTGCATCGACACGAAGAAGCTGGGAGCTTCGGACGTTACTCAGCCAGACTAAAGGTAAGGGAGGAAGTCATGGGATTTGACCTTTAAAACAAGAGCTCTTTCAGCTGGAGTGTGCTAGCTTCTGAACTCACTTGAACACAAATCAGGAATATTTCATCGCCTTCTCTCGTGGATCATGCTTTTAGGCATTTCCTATACTCTGTAGCAAATTACATGCTCCCATGTGCCAGGAACATGTTTTATCATCTCTGTATTCGCCAAGCAGCTTCACACTAGAATGTAGTCCACAATGGATAAAAATGGAAAAGAATGGATTTGCCGAATCTGGCTAATACTTAAAATTACCATCAAAGCGCATTTAGGGACTTTATTGCCCAAGATAGGAAATTCATAACATTTGTGAGATGAATAGCTATTCACTTATTCCACTAAGAAGTTGAGAGAAAGCGTTATGTACCACCATTCATGGCATAATTATATGTACTATATAATTTTATATAATAGAATATATGTGAAGTGTGTGTGTGTGTGTGTAAGTAAAACAATGATCCATGCTCATCGAAACAATTAAATCAAATGTTGCATTACATCTGTCAAGTCCACTGCAAAAGACCTCCTTAAAGAAGCGCATTTGCCAAACGCTATACGTCATTTGATTTCTTGTTTCCGTGAGCATTGGCTGCACTCACTCATCAATGCCAAAATCTTTGGAAGACAGCTACCTGGCCAGCTGATTGGAAGAGATGTGTATTTGTGCCCATTCCAAAGAGGTGACCCGGTGGAATTCAGAAATCATCAGACAGTATCATTAATATCCTATCAAGTACAGTTTTACTAAAGATCATTAATCAGCTGCGACAGTAATGGACAGGGAGCTGCCAGAGGCTTATACCAGATTCACTTGAGGACTGTTATGACTGATGTCATGTGGATCTGGGCTGAAAGCAGAAAATACCAGAAGGTAGTTTTCCGGTGCTTTATTGACTATACGAAGGTTTTCGACTGGGTGGCTCATGAGAAGCTATGGACAGCACTGCGGAGAATGGGTATTCCAGAATACTTCAGTGTGCTCATGAGGAACCCACATTTAGACCAAGAGGTAGTTGTTGGAACTGCACAAAGGAACAGCAAATGGTCTCAGCTTAGGAAAGGTGTGCCCCAGGTTGTAGTCTTTCAATCTGCGTGCTGAGAAATAATCTGAGAAGCTGGATTATGTGAAGAAAAATGTGACATCAGGATTAAAGGAAGGCTCATTAACAACCTGCAATAAATATGCAGGTGATACAACCTTGATGAAAGCAAAGAGGACTTAAAATACTTATTGATGAAGATCAGAGACCACAACCTTCAATATGGGTTGCACCTCAATTAAAAAACAAAAAAAAAAAAACAAAAAAAAACCTTCATCTCTGGACCAATAAATAACATCAAGATAAACAGAGAAAAGATGGAAATTGTTGAAGGCTTCATTTTGTTTGTATCCGCTGTCAACACTCATGAAAGCAGCCGTCAAAAAATCAGATGACTTACTGCATTATGCAGATCTGCTAAAAATCTGTCTGTGATCAGAACAATTACAATGTAAAAGAAGGTAAACACAGAAACAAAAATCCAGGAGGTGGGAAGGTCAGGTAGATTACAGGATGAAATAGACTGTCTTAAATGGAGGGAAGACTTAATGAAATATAAGGTGGGGGGGGGTACAAGAAGGGGGAGGAGGCGGAAGAACAATATAGATAGGGGAACACTGAAACAGGTTTGCGTGTTCTATGTGGGACAGAGGTAAGTAGTGATGCATGCTTAACCTTGGAACAACAGGGCTCTAGGATACAGGGATCTAGGCATAGATTTAAGAGGGGAAATAATACTGAAATGCTTGACTGTCTTATGAATATTGGTTTCTCTTGCCTACTATTGTAAAATAGACACGAGTGGGATAGAAAGGAATGTTGGGGAACATGATTACAGAAAGCTTATAAGCCCTTCTTCATCCTATAACTGATGGGAATACCTAAAAGGGATTCTATAACTTGCCCAGTGAAATAGGCCTCTTGTGGAGCCTTTGCAGAGTATAGGACCTTAGGTGGACTCCTGAGTACCATCCAGAACCATCTGAGTAGGACATTCCCACTAGAAAGGACAAGCAGACCAGCCTGGAACAGCTAGAGCAACAGAAGATACATCTTCAAAGAAAGATCATAAGGAAAAGTCCAAAACAAAAATGTCAGCATGACTGGCTACTACAAGAATAAGCAAGCTGTTCTCTAGGAAACCACCAAGGCAAGCAATCAAGTTCCTTCAGGACAAACTCCCCTCTAAGACTGAAACTCGAAGGGAACACACAAACAGGCATGTAAGCTTG